GTAATAGAGACATTAGGAAGAGGGGAGGATTTGAGAGGAAAGATAATGAATTCCATTTTGGACAAGTTGAGTTTAAGATGGCTACTGGACACCCAGTTTGAGATCCCCAATAGGCAGCTGAATACTCAAGACTAGAGGGGTCAACAGAGAGGTTAGGGCCAGCTAAGTGGATTCAAGATTCATCAGCGTAGAGATAATAATTGAATCCATGGGAGTTTTTGAGATCACCAAGTAAAAAATATGGAGGAAGAAGAGAAGTGGGCCAAGGACAGAGCCTTGCGGGACCTTCACGGTTAATGAGTATGAACTAGATGAAGATCCAGTAAAGGAAAGTGAGGAAAGGTACAATAGGTAGGAGGAAAACCAGGATATCATGAGAACCTAGACAGAAGAGAATGTCAAGCAGAAACACGACTGAAAGCTCCAGAGATGTCAAGAAGGCTGAGGACTAAGAAAAGGTCATTAGATTTGGCCACTAAGAGATAATAATCAATGAAGATGAAATTGCTGCAATTATTAGGAGTTATTTTGCCCAATTAAAGGTCAATAAAACTGACAATCTAAGTGAAATGGATGAATATTTACAAAAATATAAATTGTCCAGATTAACAGATGAGGAAATAGAATACTTAAATAACTCTTTTAGGAAAAGAAATTGCACAAGTCATAAATGAGCTCCTAAGAAAAAAACCCTCCAGGATCAGATGGATTTCCAAGTGAATTGTACCAAACATTTAAAGAACAATGAATTCCAATACTATATAAACTATTTGAAAAAAAATAGGCAAAGGAGTCCTATCAAATTCCTTTTGCAACACAAATATGGCGCTGATACCTAAACCAGAAAGAGAAAAAACAGAGAAAGAAAAGTATAGGCTTTTCCTAACGAATATTTGTACAAAAATTTAAACAAAATACTAGCAAGGAGATTACAGCAACATATCACAAAGATCATACCCTATATGACCAGGTAGGAGCTAAATCCAGGAATGCAGGACTGGTTCAATATTAGGAAAACCAGCAGCATAAATGACCATATTGATAATAAAAGCCAAAAATATATGATCATATCAATAGGTGCAGAAAAAGCTTCTGACAAAACACAATACTGATTCCTATTAAAAAACACTAGAAAGGAGCAGCTAGGTGGCACAGTGGATAGAGCTCTGGCTTTGGAATCAGAAGGACCTGAGTTCAAATCCAGTCTCAGACACATGATACTTACTAGCTGTTTGACACTGGGCAAGTCACTTAACCTCAACTGTCTCACCAAGAAGCAAAAAAAAAAACCAAAAAACAAAAACAAAAACAAAAAACGAAACACTAGAAAGCATAGAAATCAATGTAGCCTTTCTTAAAATGATAAGTAATACCTATCTAAAACCAAGAGCAAGCATTATCTGTAATGAGGATAAACTAGAAGCCTTTCCAATAAGATCAGGGGTGAAGCAAGGATGCACTTTATCACCACTGTTATTCAATAATGTACTAGAAATGTTAGCTATAGCAATAAGAGAAGAAAAAGAAATTGAAGAAATAAGAATACGTAATAAGGAAACAAAACTATCACTCTTTACAGATGATGGGAGGCTATACTTAAAGAACACTAGAGAATTAACCAAAAAACTTGTTGAAAAAAGATTAACTTTAGCAAAGTTGCAGAATATAAAATAAACCCACACAAATAATCAGCATTTCTCCATATTACCAACAAAATTCAGCAGCAAGAGATAGAGAAATTTGATTTAAAGCAACTGCAGCTAGTACTATATAAAATACTTGGGAGTCTACCCGCCAAGACATACACAAAAACAACAAGAACATAATTACAAGGGGAAAAAAAATGTTCACACAAATAAAGACAGATCTAAACAACTGGAGAAATATTAATTGTCTATGCATAGGCTGAGTTAATAAAATAAAAACGACAATTCTATCTAAACCAATTTATTTATTTAGTGCTATGCCAATCAAGCTTCCAAAGAATTATTTTATAGAGCTAGAAAAAATACCGAATGTCACCTAGAAGAACAAAAGGTCAAAAATTTCAAGGGAATCAATGAAAAAAAAAGTGAAGGTAGGCAGCCCAGCAGTACCAGATTTCAAACTATATTACAAAGCAGCAATCATGAAAATAATCTGCTACTGGCTAAGAAACAGAGAGGTGGATCAGTGGAATGGATTAAGTTTACATAGTATAAGATTATAATATACAGTAGTAAATAACCATAGTAATCTAGTGTTTGATAAACCCAAAGATCCAAGCTTTTGGAGCAAGAACTCACCACCAGACAAAAACTGCAGGAAAAAAAGGAACACAGTCTGGCAGAAACTAGGTATAGACCAACATCCCACACCACATATCAAGAGAAGCTCAAAAGAGGTACATGATTTAGACATAAAGGCTCATATCAGATGCCAATTAGGAGAGCATAGAAAAAATTACCTATCAGCTTTCTGGATAAGAGAAGAGTTTATGATCAAACAAGAGATAGGGAGGATCATAGGAGACAAAATGGATTAATTTTTATTATGTGAAACTAAAGAGGGTTTGAACAAACAAAACTAATGCCCCTAAAATTAGAAAGAAAGCAGGAAATGGGGAAGGGGAGGAGAGCATAGGGTTATAGCACGTTTCTCTGATAAAGGCCTCGTTTCTCAAATACATAGGGAGCTGAGCCAAATTTATAAAAATAAGAGCCATTCACCAATTGATAAGTGGTCAAAGGATAAACAGGCAATTTTCAGAAGAAGAAATCAAAGCTATTAATAGTCATATGAAAAAGTGCTCTAAATCACTAATAATTAGATTATAATATAATTATAATTATAATAATAATGATTAGATTAAAATAACTCTGAGTGGTTACCTCACACCTATCAGATTAGCTAACATGACAGAAAAGGGAAATGACAAATGCTTGAGGGGATGTGGAAAAATCGGGACACTAATGCATTGTTGATGGAGTTGTGAACTGGTCCAACCATTCTGGAAAACAGCTTGGAACTATGCCCAAAGGGCTATGAAACTATGTATGCCCTTTGAACCAGCAATACCACTACTAAGTCATTATCCCAGAGATTTTTTTTTGAAGGGAATATAGGGGCAGTTAGGTGGCACAGTGGCTAGGGCCTAGTAGTCATCTGGCCTCAGATACTTGACACTTACTAGCTGTGTGATCCTGGGCAAGTCACTTAACCCCAATTGCTTCACTCCCCAAAAAAATTTTTTTTAAAAGGGAGTACAAAAATATTTATAGCAGCTCTTTTTGGGGTGGCAAAGAATGGAAACTGATGGGATGCCCATCAATTGGGGCATATGATTGTGATGGAATACTATTGTGCTGTAAGAAATTATGGAGGAGCAGCTAGGTGGTACAGTGGATAGAGCATTGGCCCCAGAGGCAGGAGGACCTAAGTTCAAATCTGGCCCCAGACACTTATTAGCTGTGTGACCCTGGGCAAGTCACTTAACCTCAGATTGTCTCAAAAGAAAAGAAAGAAAAGAAATAGGGGATAGTTTCAGAAAAAACCTGGGAAGACATATTAACTAATGCAAAGTGAAGTGAGCAGAACCAAGAGAACATTGTACACAGTAACAAAGATATTGTAACAGTGAAAGATTTGGCTACTTCGATCAAGACTGTAAAACAATTCCAAAAGACTCACGTTGAAAAATGTTATCCACCTCCCGAGAGAGAGAACTGATGAATTCTAGGTGCAGATTGATGCACAGTTTTTCACTTCATTTTTCCTGCTTTTTTTTTTTGCAAGTGATGAATATGGAAATATGTTTTGCATGACTTCAAATGCATAAGGGGTATCTTATTGCTTGCCTTCTCAGTGGGTGTGGCAGGGGCTGGAGGGAGGGAGAGAATTGGGAACTCAAATTCTTAAAAATGAATTTTTTTAAAAGAGAGAAAGATCATTGATAATTTGGCAGAGGGCAGTTTCAAATAAATGACAAGGTCAGAAGCCAAACTGTAGAAGAGAGTGAGAGGAGGGCAAGTAGAGGCACCCACTGCGGACCGCTTCCTCAAAGGAGTTTGGACACAACAGGCAGGAGAGACATGGGATGATAGTGAGTGGGGATGGATAGATCAAGTCGGGGGTTTGAGGACGGGAGAGACGTGGGTGTTCGTAGGCAGTAGGGAAGCATCCAGCAGGGAGAAACTGAAGATGAGTGAGAGTGAGGATGATGGAGGGGGCAATCTGCTGGAGAAGACGAGATGGAGTGGGGTCACAACAACCCTGGCAGGAAAGTGCTGTCATTGTTCCCATTTTACAGATGAGGAAATTGAGGCAGGTTAGTTTGGGGGTTTTAAGTGACTTGGCAGGGTCACACTGCTAGTAAGCGGCAGAGGCTGAATTTGAACTCGGGTCTCCTCCTTGGGCCTCAGTTTCCCCGGTACACCATGGGAGTTTGGATGCTCCTCGTCCTGGAGGAGCTCTCGGCCCTTTCCAGGCCAAGGGGGACTTTACCGTAATTACCACCCCCATGAGTGCGGGAAGAGAGTCTTTACGGTGATACGGTAAGCGTCTCCCTCCGCTGCGCCCGCCCGGGGCTTCGGCAGCGGAAGGGGCTTACCGTAATTACCTAGGGAGCGCCTAAACCCACCCCGTCCCCTGGCCCAGAGGACAGACGCCTTTATTGTAATAAATCCGCTGGGCTCCCAACCCCGCCACCCCCAAGCAGAGCAGGATGAGATAGGGCAAGACAGACTAACGCCCACCCCTGGGCGCAAGACGAGGGCCTCGTACCGTGATCACTACCCCCAGGGGCTTGCGGGAGGGTTTACGGTAATGACACCCCTAGGCTTCCATTCTGTCCCGGCGTTCGGGGGCACAGAAGAGAGGCTGTACCGTAACAACTGCGAGGGGGCGCCCACGAGCCTCTACCGTAATGACTGCAAGGGGGCGCCCCCGAGCCTCTACCGTAACGACTCCGCGGGGGCGCCAGAGCCTTTTCCCCCGTGCAGGCGGCTGACACTGGTCCCGTAACTGCCCTCGAGCAGCCCCGTAATGAACTCCGCTGGGGCGCCTCCCCTACCGTAATGAGCCCCGCGGGAGCCAGCTCGTTTGTGCGCAGGCGCAAGAGCGGTTTTCACCCCGCGGCCGCCTCGGGCGTTCTCATTCCTGGGGGGGACGCTTGAGGTGAGAGGTCGCGGGCTGGACGCCTGGGGCCGTTGGGGCGGGCCCTGGTCCGGAGTGGGAGTGGGGGAGCTGTCAAGGGCCGGGGCCGGGGGCCTGGGTCTGGGGGGGTCCGGGGGGAGGTGCCGCCCCCAGCCCCAGAATGGGGGGAGGAGCGGGGCGCAACCCCCACCCCCACGGAGGAAGGGACCCCTGTGGTGTTGTTGGTGACTGACAAGTTAGTTATTGACAAGTTAAAAAGTTTTCCCGCCCCCTCCTCCACCTGTCAGCCCCTCCCCCTCCCATCTCGGTTCTCCCCCTTCCCCTCCCCTTCTCCCTCCCCCTCCCATCTCGGGTCTCCCCCTTCCCCTCCCCTTCTCCCTCCCCCTCCCATCTCTGGTCTCCCCCTTCCCCTCTCTTCTCCCTCCCCCTCTCCCTCCCCCCTTTCCATCTAAGGCCTCCCCCCCCACCTGCACCCCAGCCTCCTGAGTGAACTCCCTGCTTCCAGGCTCTCCCCACCCTCTGCATTTGGAGCCCTGCCTCTCCCCCATTCACTAAACCCCTGTGGCTCCCTGTCACCTCCAGGAGTGCTCAGCTGCTGCCTGACCTAGGCTCCTTCTTCCTAGTTTTAGTGAGTCTGCTACCCCCCCTGTGTCCCCTCACCCAATGTTATTTTGTAGTTGCTATTAATATATTTCGTTTTTGTATCCCCAGAACGTATAGTGCCTGGTCTATCATAAGGGCTTAATAAATGCTTATTGACCAGCTGATGGGGACTGATGTTAGAATAGAACTCCTAGAGGACAGGACCCTGTTTTTGTTTTTCTTTGTTGTGCCCTCAGGGCTTACCGTAGTCCCAGGCACACAGCAGACACTTAATAAATGCTGACTGACTTTTTGGTCAAGGAGCCATCTCTTGGGCAGGTAGCCTGGTGAAACCTATCATGGCCTCCTTCTCAGAATCATGTTTTCAAGGTCTTCAAATACAACTCGGGATTGTAAAGGAAACCAGCGATATTTAGGGACAGCTGTCAGCGTGTGAAAGACACCCCAGGTGAAGGATCCCTGGTCTGGGGTCAGATAGAAATAAAAGTAGACCATGGGCACTGCTCAGCTTCCTGGTTTGCCCTTCTTTGTGTCCCTAGCTCCTGGTGCTGTGTCTGGCATGAGGCAGGTACTTAATCAATGTTTATTGACTGACTGATTAGGAGCTGTGTCTTTTGGTGCTGTGAGTAAGGAATTGTAAGAATTCCAGTTTGACTGGATGTTAAGGGGCAGAAAGAGGAATACAAAGTAGTGGATGAGGATGGATGAGCCCGGATGAGAAGGGCCCAGTGCTGATTCTAGAGGCCTTGAGAACAACTAGGGTCTGAGAGAGGAAGACTTCAGCGTCCAGCCCTGCACACTAGGGGAATCGTTAGCAGCATTCACAGGCTGACTTGAAGTAGGGAGAGAGACCAAGTGAGGAGATTTTGCAATAATGCAGATGACCTCAGATGGGGCTCTGGGAGGGGCAGCCAGGAGAGGTGTTTCAGAGGCAGAAATCACAAGCTGTGGGGCGAGTGGGAGCCAGGAGGAAGAGCTGATGGTAAGTCTTGAGGCTGCAAGGCCGGAAGATTGGGAAACTCAGAGAGGGCTGGGTTCTGGTGAGGAATGAGCCCTGTTTTAAACATGTGGACTCTGGGCAGGAAGTTACCAGGCATCAGGTTTGAAAAGCCCAGTGGGCAGTTAATGGAGCTCATATGTAGGTCTGGGAGTCATCAGCACAGAGATGATCACTGGACCTGTCCAGCCAAGGTCACAGAGAAAGTAAGAAGAGAGGGCCCAGGGCAGAGCCTTGGGGGGCACCCACAGTGGAGGGGCACAGTATGGATAATGATCCAAGAAAAGAGACTTGGGAGGAGGGGTTAGCCAGGTAGGGGGAAAACGAGGAGAAAGTGGTATCACTAAAACCCAGAGAGGAGATAGAGGACAGCAAAGAGATCATTGGTGCCCTTGGAGAGAGCAGTTTGAATTTGGGGAGGATATTGGAAAGATGACAAGTGAGGGGAGATGTGAAGGCACTGAGGAAAGAGAGACTACCTTTTCTAGAAGTTTGACTGAGAAAAGGAGCAGACAAAGGATGGTGGCTTGTGGGGATAATAGGGCCTTGTCCCAGGGGTTTTGGTTCCATTCTGTTACCGTTGGTGGAGGTTTGGACACGTTAGGGGGCAGAATGGAAGGAGCCAATAGGAAGAGAGAGATTGAAGATGGGGGAAGGGACGAACTCTGCAAATGGGAACCAATAGAGGGGTTAGCCTTTTGAGGAAGGTCACCTCTTTATCAGAGACTGGAATAAGGGAGAAGAGAATAGGACGATATCGAGGGATTGTGAGAGGAGAAAGAAGCCCCTATTTTCCAAGGAACAGTAGCTGTGAGGGTCAGGTGAGGAGTGATCAAAGGAGAAAAGAGAGTCTGGAACAGCTGCAGACACACAGTAGGTGCTTAATAATGCTTGTCGATTGGAGAGTAAGAAAAGGAATAAATTAAGGAGAAATAAAAGGGTTGCCTTGTTGTAGTGAGGATCCAGTACAAATTAGTATAGAGGTGTCAAACCCTCCAGTGACAGAAGGGCCCAAAACTCCCAGTGTGGCCTGAACCCGATTAAAATGTAATTAGGAAACAGTAAACAAAAATATAACAATACATAGGTAATGTTAATTTGTGGTTTTCTAAGTCACTATGCAGTGCACAGGGACCCCTGGATTAGTAAACTCTTCCCAGCTGTGGGCCTCAGTTTCCTCACTTTGAAAATGAACGAACAAATTGAGCAGAGGACTGAAGAAGGACAAATTCCTCATTTTCAAAAACAGGAAGAGTAGTTTCCTCAGACTTTAGGCCACTGTGAACTTGGCTTCATTCCTGGTCAAAACCCAGAGCATATTATTAAAGCAATGGTTAGTGAGTATCTGTAGAGAAAAGGAGGAGGTTTATCACAGAGAGGCATCACAGACTGACCTCATTTCCAGTTTCTGAAAATACAAATAGAATGGTAATTGGACAAAGTTTCTCGGAAATGCCTGAGCACAAGTTGAGGAGATGTAAGCAACAGTAGAACTAAGAGGCTTTGAAATTGTTTAAATGTCCCAAGTTCCCAGAGAGTTGAGCTTGGCTCTGTGCTATTTAACATTTTTGCCAGTCACTCAGAAATAAAGAGCATTCTTGTTCAGATGGCCCAAAGCCAGGAGGTATAGTTAATCCGATGTAGAACAGAGTAAGGGCCAAAAGAAGTCTTGGCAGGCTAGAATGCTGTCCTTAATCCAATGGGATACATTGAGTAGGAATAAATGTGAAGATTTAAACTTGGGTTAAAAAAAGGCACAAAATTGGAGAGACACAGCTTCCCTACTAGCTAAACTCTTCAGTAGTTCACCTGAAGAAAATCTTGTGAGGGGTGAACAATGTGATGGCAACCAAACTCCCACTTCTCTCGATTCTAGACTGCAGTAAAAGATATGTGGTATGCAAGACTGGAGAGGGTATAGTCCCAGTGTGCCATTTCTGGGCTGCCTCCTTTCAGGTGTGGGATCATCTTTTGGGAAGGACGTGGACGAGCTGGACAGAGTTAAGGGGGGGTGCCCAGGATGGTGAAGGAGGCTGCAAGATCAGGCCATGGGAGGGTTGGCTGAAGAAGCTGAGGGCATCTATGCTAGAGGAGAGGATGTGATAGTCAGCTGGGAGTGTCTGAAGGGCTGTCCCAAGGCAGAACCAGGAGTAAGGGTAGAAGGTGCCCAGAGTCCAATTTAGATTCAGTAAAGATGATTCCTGCCTGGTTGTTGTTCTGTGGTGTCTGACTCTTCATGACCCCAATTGGGGTTTTCTTGGCGAAGGTAGTGGAGCTTCCTTCTGAAGCTCGTGTTACAGATGAGGAAACTGAGACAGACAAGGTTAAGTGACTGGCCCAGGGTCACACAGCTAGTGTCTGAGGGCAGATTTGAACTCAGGTCTTTTGGAATTTACTCCTAGTGCTCTGTGCTCTACGGCACTCGCTAGCCACCAGCTCCTAATAAACAGCTATCACAGAGTGAAAGGTCACCCCCAACAAGCGTTTCTACTCCCTAGAGACTCTCTGGCAGAGGGCACTTGATGACACACCTGGCATGTTGTAAGGGGGGATTGGATTCAGTGAGCTCCAAGGGCCCCTTCCAGCCTGACATTTTGTGCTTCTTTGCCCAGATGGAATCCAGGACCTTGTAAACTACCACCTTCAAGATGGCTGACATCCCATGCTCCTCCCAGACCGGCCATTCTGACCATCGTTCCTACATCTCTTCCAGGTCCTCCCAGTTCATCACGGGTCAGTACCTGAAGCCTTTCCAACTTGGTGGGAACTGCTAGGCTTGGTTTAGTCTTTTCTGGCTTGACGTTGGTTAGCCCAGAAATGCCTCCACGCCACGAGAGGGGCTGTGTGGAGGGTGCTGCCCGCCGTCTCCACAAACCCAGCATTTCCCACTGGGGGTCCTTCCTCTCCCCAGACAGACAGAAGCCTCTCCATGTTGTAGGAAAACCGTGATCTGTGAGAAATGCTAGGGTCACAACAAAAACCGCCCCAAGCCAGCCTGGTGATGAGTGTCTCCACATTTAGCCAGCCTGGGCTTCTTATAACAAACAGGCCATCCGTCACTGCGCACTTATGGAAAACCTTCCCAGCTTGAGGTATTAGAGGAGCAGTTGGGGGCTGTATCAGAGGGAACCATGGAGTCGAGAAGAGAGGGTTGGCCTTATCCAGGAACACCTGGCTTTAAGCCAAACCTCCGAGGCAGGCCCCTTAACCTCTCAGGGCTCTAGGCCAATGGTGCTGACCCCAGAAATGAACCACTGAACCTTCCATAAGGTTGCCTGCAGGCATACCCCATGTTAATACTATCTCTATCATTGCATTTTTATTTTGTTAAAATTTCCCAGTTACACCTTAATCTGGTTCAGGCCCAACTCTGGGAGGGTTGTCAGCCCGCGTGCTGCTGGCACCTTTGCTGTAGCCCCTCAGGAGACCCCAGGTTGCAGAGAAGGTTCCACCTGATTTGGTGGAAGGGGTTTCCTCACTCCACTAGTGAAATCTGAGGTCCAGTTGCTGTCCTTATTAGAAGGCAGGGTAGTGCCATGGAAAGAGCCTGAGTTGGGCATTGAGAGGCCTGCCTTCACATCCCATCCTGGCTATCTGGGGGCCTCCAGCAAATCAGTTTCCTCACATTTAGTGCAAGGATGAGACACGTACACAAGTAAGTGGAAACTAAATGGGGAACAGTTTGCAAAAGAGGACTGAGAAGGAGGGTTGGCAGGGTGACCCAGATTGCTTGCATCTAAACATCATATTGGGCTTATTAATTATTAATTATGTTGATTTAATTGAATAGAGAGCAGCTATGTGGCTCAGTGGAGGGAGCTCCGGGCCTGGAGTTAGGAAGACCTGAGCTCAAATCCAGCCTGACACTCACTAGCTGTGTGACCTTGGGCAAGTCACTTCATCGTCCTTGCCTCAGTTTCCTCATCTGTCAAATGAGCTGGAGAAGGAAATGGCAAACCATTCTAGTGTCTCTGCCAAGAAAACCCCAAATGGGGTCACAAAGTTGGACGCGACTGAATAACAGCAAATTGAATAGAGGGAGAAAAAAAGAACTATACATAGATATTGCTATAGATATGTCAGTAGAGATAGAGAGAGGCAGCTAGGCCTGAAGTCAGGAAGACCTGAGTTCAAGTCCAGCTTCAGATACTTCCTAGCTGTGTGACCCTGAGCAGCCACTGCCTGCCTCAGTTTCCTCACCTGTAAAATGGGAATCATGATATCCCTTCCCTACCCTGGGTGAGAGTCAGATGAGATATCTGTGAAATGTGCTTAGCGTAAGCCTGCACACAGTAGGTACTCTACAGATACTTACATCTGTATTGCCCTTACAAAAATCCCCCTTGGAGATCACTCCTCCCACTTGTCCCGCTGGTCTGGCCATTGTCCTGAAAAGCTCTTGGTTTTACGCGCTTGGTCCTCAGACTTCATTCAGCCTGTCATCGTGGTTCACGGCGGAGGAGCCGGCTCCATCTCTAAGGAACGCTCGGAAAGAGTACGACTCGGTGTCACCAAGGCCGCCCTGCTGGGCTACAACATCCTCAAAGATGGCAGGAGCGCCCTGGACGCTGTCGAGGAGGCTGTGGTGTCCCTGGAGGATGACCCCGAGTTTAATGCAGGTAAGTTTGGGGGGCAGAAGTGAGTGAGACCAAGAGAGGTGCGTACCGAGGGCGTGACCTTTCCCGCTAAGGTGGCCTCCACCACCCTCCCATGTTCAGAATCGGCTTGATCTTTCATTCTCCCCTCCCTTGCTGCTCACATCCAGCCAGGCCCCACAGCATTCCCCACATCCACCCCGTCTGTTCTTTTCTTGCTGTCCCCGTCCCCGCGCCCCTCCCCCCAGCCCAGGGATGGCTCTCCAGTGAGGGCCCCTGCCTCCCAGTCAGACTTTCTCCCTTCTCTCTCCTCACTTTGCTCTTCAATCTGTCCTTCTGAGACACACTTCATCCCACTGGTCAGAATCTGCTTTCTCACACATGGTTGTGGTTGTGTCACCCTCAGAGTGGGAAGGGCCCTCAGAATTCATCTGGATAAGAACCCCATCTCCAGCGTACTTGACAAGTGGTCGTCTGACCTTTCCTTGAAGACCCCCAATGAGGGGGAGCCCCCTGCCTGCCGAGGCAGCCCTGGAGAGCACTCATTCCTCAAGCCTACATTATCTCCTCCCACTGTTACTCTGACTTTCACCCCAAAACAAGCCCAATCCATCTTCCTCATGATACAGCTTTTCCAGGACTTGAAAATGGCTCTCATGGCATGTCCCCCACCCCCAAGTCTTCTATTCCCCAATTCTTCTAGCCAGTCTACATGTAGCATGACCTTGAGGCCTTCCTTCATGGCCCTCTTGTGGATACACCTCAGGTTTATTAGTGTCCTTTCTACAATGTGCACCCAGAAATGAAAACAGCACTCCAGAATGCTCTGACCAGAGCAGAAGGTGATGGGACTGTGACCCCCTACCTTTGGGTGCTGTGAACCTCCTACTGCAGCCTCAAACTGCCTTCATTTTCTGACTTCTGGATCACATTGCTGATTCATGATTCTCAGTCTGCTGAAACGCCCAGAGTTTTCAAGGCATTTTACCATACGAAACCATCATCTCTTTCCAGTCTTAATTTTATATTATTCCCTTCCCTGACCTATGTACTTCAGCTCCCCCAAACAGAGCCTTCGCTTTCCTTTCCCTGTGCCTGGGAGGGGTCCTCCTTCCCCATCTGCCTGCTGACCCCTACCCATGCTGTAAAGCCCAAATCCAACACTCCCTCCCCCCAGTGGGGGGGTTCAGTCCCTCCTCACTGAGGGTATTCTGCAGAGGTCCAGCTCATGAGGGAATAAGCATTTGTCAGAGATTCTGTAGGGGGGGTCCCGTTCCAATATGGGTTGGATTCAGTGGCCCCCACGGTTCTTTCCTGTTCGGAGATGCCACCACATAGAGGTCTCTAAAGAAACAGTAGGCTTCTTAACCATCCAGCACATTGTTATGGGGCTGTATGTAGTCCAGCCAAACATCATAATGACTCATATATGTGGGTCTTAAGGTTGACAAAGCACTTCCTTTTCATCACTCTATGGGGTAGGTGCCATCCTGTGTGCACAAATATGTAGATCAGCAGCTTAGAAAAAAAAATTCTGCCTCCATGAGACCCCAGAGACTCACAGAGGGGAGTCGGCTCGAGCTTAGGGTCACATTTGTACACTGGAGTCTGAAAGGAAAGGATATTCAGGAGAGACCAGCTCCTATTTTCCCATCTTCATCCAGGAGAGTAGACTCCCTCCCCTCTCCCTCCCCTCTCCTTCCCCTCCCCCCCCCATGACTGGTCCCCAAAGACAAGTTTAGAATCAAAACAGTTGGGTCAGAGGTTCAGATGGGGTGGGAAAGTGGGTGATTCAGAAAAGAAAGAGGCAAATAATAAAATCTTCCAGGAAGGAAAATCTTATTAAAAAAAAAAAACTTATCTCAAATCTCTTTTTTTTCCTTTCAAATTCAGTCCATGACCTTGTTCCCAGAAAGCCACTTCTAAGACTTTAAGCATCTGAAACCAGTAAGAACAAATTTCTTTCTCAGTCTCATCTTAAAAAGGGACAGATCAACTTAGCTCTTCATTAAGGCAGCTTTGTAAAAGTTACACCCAGACTCCACCTTGTGTGAAACTCTGAGTGACGTGAGTCAACGGCAAACGGCAGGCCGGGGGCCAAATCCTGCCCACACGCTGCCTTTTTTTTGGCCAGCTGGCGAGCTAGCTTGCAGGCCACACAAAAAGCTGCGGTGGTCTGGATGTGAGTTTGCCATCCCCTGGTCTGCGGGGCTAAAGTAGACTCCTGTGGTGATTGAGTGTTGGTTTGAATCCTCTAGGCAAACAAGCCTGTGTGCGTGGGCATAACCAGAAACCAAACTTGGGCTACAGTGACAGAGTATTTGGTTTGCTCTCTAGCTGAATAAAAAATCCCGGGGAGCAAACCTGTACCTATATGAGCCAGGATGAAGGGAACGTGTTCTGGTCTCCAGTCTCTCCTTCCCCACAACAAAGTTGACTCATTATGTCATCCCTGTACGTTCCCACAGGCACACGCTGGAGCCTGGAGGCCCTGGGCTTGTGGGTGATGACTTCTTCTCTGGAGGCCTTCTCCAGAGGCAGACTCTGGGAGGGATGGGTGGGGTTCTAGTTTTCTGGTTTCTGGTGGGTGAGGAAAATCCCAGTCTGACATCACGCCTGAATGCCTGTTTGAATGCTCCTTGTCTCCCGGCCAGAGAAGTCACGCACCACCTCCTTCCCTGCTCCAGTAAGGGGTGTGCCGAGGCCAGCTCAAAACTGGAGCCAAATGTTTAGTTTTTGAGGTGAGCATTTACACCTTGGAAATCACCACGCACTACAGAATGGGACTTGATTTGTCATTATCTAGAGTTAAGAAAGTATTGCTAAGGCAGACTGAACTTGAAAGTGTGTGTGGGTGTGTACATTTTGCTTCTGGAGAGCCTGTTAAGAGAGTGGTTCAACAGTTACCCTCTTGTCAGCCGAAGGAAGAGGGGCAGGTCAGTATACTCCGTAACCTCTGCCCACTGGCCACCTTCCCAAGCTTCACCCCATCTCCCGCCAAAGCCATCCTCACCATCCTGCATAAGGCCTGCCCACCCCAGGACCAACTGCTTTTGGTGACAATGCTGAACTTGAGACTTCCTACAGAGGGGTTTGGGGTACGCTTCTGAAGAAGGGGGACTCCATCACATCTGGTTCTTGGAGACCCGCTGTCAGCTGTTCTAGACAAAGTGCAAGGAATCTTCCCACATACGTGTGAGTGACAAATGAAGGAGACGCTGGTCCTGCTGGAGAACAGGAGACAGGCCCTGGGGCCAGATCTAGTACCCGTCTGATGTAATTGGCCCTTCAGCTCTCTGGTGGGTCTCAGCCTCTTCAGCTGCCAAATGAAGCCATTCAGACTGGATGATCCCTGAGGGGCTTTCTGGCTTTATTTAATGTCTTACAATATTCCACATTTTACTTGACTCTGTCCTCCCTCTGTAGTTCTGCCTCTGCTCACAGGGTTCTCAAACATCCACTGAGCAAGCGTGCAGATATCCCATCAAAGCAGGGCCCGCAAGCTCCCCAACACAATCTCAGTCCTGTTCCCCACGGGTGAGATAGAAGAGAAGTGCCCTGAGACTCTGGAGCAGAGAAATAGAGCCTGGGAAGTTCTTGTGATTGATTTCCACTAAGAACAGCTGTGCCTCTCCCCCACTAGGCCCTGCCCTCTCTTGTCCCTGGATGTTCCTACATAAAAAACCTCTTAGGTCCAAGGACTAAGACGTGTCCATCACTTCTGGGACCACCTCCCTCCCCTGCCCTTATCCATAAAGAGTCGTCACTCCCATTGCTTCTGTCAGGAGCTAAAGCCCAGTACCAGTCCTGGGGTCCTCAAGAGGTTTAAAGGACCTCCCCAGTGAAGAGATCCCTGTAACTCCGGAGCAGAGAGCAGCACCTTAGTGCTGGGAAGAAAGAGGAAGCCTGGCCCAGGATGAGCTGCTGTCGTATCTCCCAAAGCAGCAGGCGATACCTTTAACCCCATAATTCCCAGGTAGATTGCACTGTAATTGATATCCTGAAATCAGCAAACCTGCTTCTTCCAAAACTCCGTCTCCTAGTCAGAATATCACCCAAATGACCCATCTCTTCAGAAAGCCATGGAAGGGCTAATTAAATATTTTCATTTCATCCTTCCAGGACCTTGGGTCTTTTATTTTTCCCTCTTCCCTGTTTATATTTCTGCAGATTCATCTCTTTTCTATTCTTTCCACCTAGTCTTCTCTTCTGGTTCACAGATAGTACCTCATTCCCTCATCCCATTTTCCAGAGGAGAGCAAAGGCATTGGCCTGGCTGCTCTCAGAGGAATTCTCCCTAATCCATTGGTTAAGCTCCTATGTCTCCTCCAAGATTTAGCCAATGATCATCCCTTCCCACCTTCTCACGGCTTGCAGAAGGACCTGTAATCTGTCTGTCATCACCAGGGATGTTCACCTGTCCCTTCTCTTCCCAGCTTACCAAGGCAAGCTCTGCCCACGAAACTACCAAGTCCATGCAGAAAGGCAGGGGCACATGCAGTGTGCTTTATTGACAGCATCAGAATCGGGGCTTTGCCAAATATCTCCTGGGAAGAAAAGAAGCCCATGAACCATCTGTTGTCTTGCTTTCCTTGGCCAGGGAATGTATATTGTGTGGTACACAGGGAGCTTATTTGGGTCCTGGAACCTCTGGACAGTCAGTTGGGTGAAACACACAGACTCCTTCTCAGAATAATATTTTTAAATGCACAAAATAAAATACATGAGATTACAAAGGAAATCAATTATATTTAAATAGTTACCAGAATTTTAAAATAAGAGTTCACAGACCCCCCCCCCCAGGTTAAGAACCCCTGAGGGAGAAACTTTGTTTGAGGGAGATTCTTTGTTTAAGCCCCTGGCTCTGCAGCAACCCTCATTGGGGCTGATGGGAAAGGCCTGGCCAGCAGGGGAGCCATTGGGCTGAGGCATTGCCGGACACTTCTGCCCCTGTGCACGAGCAGCTCTTGGTGCTCGTTGCAGTACGTGGAGATGATGACGAAGAGGAACCTGGGAATCAAGCTCCCTGCGGAGGTCCGTTCTCCTGGACAGACTCCTGGTCATCTCACAGACGCTGCCCCGACGACTAGGTTGTCATCTGCTGGTGACTGCCCATTGTCGAGGTTCGTCTTGATACTCAGAACGTGATTTGGTGCTTGATGAAAACAAAGACTTGGGCCCTAAGAAGACAGAGTGAAAATAGCAGATGAAACCATCTGTCACTGTGGGTGCCTCCTGTCAGGAAATGGGCGGATTTAGAAAGAAAATGACTGGTTAAATAGATGGTGTCTGAAAACGCTAATTGGATTTCTCGACCATGGCTTAAAGTATGCGGATTGCTTTTAGCAAGTAGTGGAGCACATCTTACAAAGATAGGGGAGGGGAGTACATTTGTCTGATATATTGTAAATCTAAACAGAAGAATTTTAAACTGAAAGGGAAGGAGGAAGACCGAAAACTGTCCACATCTCTCTACCGAACTCAATCCCCGAGAGACTGGCTAGAGTATTGGAAGAAGAGCAACAGACATGTCCAGAAGCTCCCAGGAAACCAAATTCAAGGACGCAACCAGCAGTAAGCCACGGCCTCAGACGTCCATCCATAGACGTGCAGAGTCCAGGCAACAGGCAGGGTGCGTTGAGGCAGATTACTTGTTGGTAATGTCACTGAACTGTAGCCAGCAATTGTTGATCGTTAGTATCAGGTGACTCCCGTGCCCTGTCTTTTAGGCACAAATCTGCCAGAGATTATTACATAATTCTAAGCATTTTTACTTAAAGAGAAAATACAAAGGGAAATCCATCCTGCCTTTGAAAATCTCTCAGACACAGACCATTTTCCTCCCAAATTATAGTATTCTCTACAAAAGCTAAAATTCCACGATAACCTAAAACCTGAGAGTTCAGATAAAACTACTTATGAGGCACAAGAGTCCCTCCTTTGGGGGGCAGGCGGGAGAATCCTTTTGCTTTGGTGTGACAGCCTCGCCTCCACCTTGGAGCAGCACGTCCTGTACAACCAGAAATCCGCGTTCCTTGCCAAGCACTCCGGCCTTTGGAACCTTGCCAGATTCCATTCTCTGCTGCATCTCTGTCCCTTGCTCATCTTTAAAAAAAATCAGGACATTATGGTTTTCGAGTGGAACGTGGCACGAACAGTAGGGTGGGTAGAACATGATGAGTGTCATGGGCTGTCGCAGTGTCTTACGTTTCCCAGGCACGAAAGCCTCAGAATCCTTTGCAACATGTGGCTTCTGGGGGGATGGGATTAAAAAAGGCTTTCCCAAACCCTCCTCCCCCCAGAAAGGAACACTGCGTGAATATCTGCTAAAGAAGTAGCGGTTCTTTCCATGCCTTTCAGGAGAACACAGAATACCTTTCTCTGACCCTCAGACACCCTGTTGCCCAGGTTTATTCAGGGAGGCATTTTTTAAGCATTTCCTGTGGATACAAAGAAAAATGGAGACCAGTCCCTGCCCTCAGGGTGCTATTCTAATGAGGGAGACCGCAGACTAATGAGGACATAGGAAATCAGGAGTGGACACTAGTGCCGCGGGTGGGCATCGAACCAGGAAAGGCCTCAGAAGGCTCGGTCAGAGCCAGAGCTTTGCCAAGACCTTGACCCAGCATGATGCCGCCCAGCACGAGACACCTCGGGGGCATCCGTGCCCCTGGGAACAGGAGGCAAAGCCTTGGTGAGGAGGGAGCTGCACTCAGGACATGGTTCAATATAGATTTCAGCTTATATTCAGTGTTGCTCCTTCATATTTGCTCAATTAGGAATGAATTGTTGAGGTACCAGGATGTTGGTGCTTCTTTTTAAATTTACCTCCTAGTTCTGAATACTCCAGATATTCTCTAGAGCTATTTTGATAGCTATATTTCATGAAATTGGTTTCCTCTGTGATGCTGTATATTTTTTATTTCATCCATTTGAAAACAGTATTTTGAGAAGGGATCCACAGACTTCCCAGACTGTCCCGGGGTCCAGCACACAAGAAAGATAAAGAAGACGTGCTCTAGAGAACGCTAACTCAGATCGTGACCGGGAAACGATCTTTGGCCTTCACTCGCTTTGTGTATAACACGTTAACAATTTCAGTTACTCTTTCCAACAATTCAGCCTTGTTAGATAAGGAACAATCTTTTGAGGGGTTGACCTCCTGCTTCCTCGGATCTTCTTCAGCCCTAAATCTTGGAATTTGTCAGCAACGTAGAGGTCATCTGGTCTTGTCTTTTCATTTACCATCAGGGAAACTGAGGCCAGAGACATTAAGTGACCCACCCAAGGTGACACAAGTAAGTTGAGGTAGAGCCAGGATTCGAACCCAGGTCTTGTCTCCTGATCCAGGGTTCTTTCCATTGCACCACACTGCCTCCATGTCCCCATTTATTTAGATACTGCCTTGTTTTGATCTTTATGTCTTCCTAACCGAAACATTTCAAAGAAAAGGACTCCATCATTTCTCTGCCCTCCCTAGCACTCAGCATAGTTCTGAGCATTCTCTTTGGCCATTAGAAAATACTTGCTGTTGGTTTGACCAGTAACATTTGCCTTGGCCCTACCTACTTTACAACATTTGTTGATTTTTTTTTAACTTCTCTACTAAGAGTTCCCCCAAATGGAAACCCTTGAGGCAATAGCTACTCTTCCTGATCCCATCTTAACAGAACCCTTGCTTCTAGCTGAGTTTGGAAGATTATTTTGTAATGAGACAGCCTCGTCCTTGGTGTTTCTTGTTCCTCCCTAACCCTCCCAGCAGCCACAGTGAGAACTATTCGTGGTTCCCTCTTTCTGGGCAGGTTAACTTGCTTTTCACGAGGGCTAAAGAACCCACAGCCTCAGGCCTTCGATGACCCCTCCCTCGCCCTTTTGGCCAGATGAGGCTTTGGCCCAGACAGAGCCCTACATTTGGAGTTGGGACCTGGATTCAAATCCTGACTCTTCCCTTCTTACCTGTGCTAATATTATGTGGGTCACTTAACATTACTGACCTGAGTCTCCTTATTTTTTGATGACTTTTTTAGCCTTCTTAAATTTAAAACAGTAGCAATATTTCTGCAACATGTGCTATATAAGCCAGTACATTGTTTTGTCCTTTGGCCAATGTCCCCATAAAACTGGATTATACTTGACAGTCATTCCAAGCTAAGAACAAATTAAAATTTAACTTGGTTCTCAAAAAGCCAGCAAATCTGAATCAGGTCGTTTTTTGCATCATTTCCACGTCCCAAACTCCTTATCTTCCTTCAGGGCTCAGCTCAGGTCTGCTCTTAAGCCTTAATGTATCATCCTCAGTTGTCAATGCCCTCTCTTGCCTCAGCTCACCTTTCATTCACTTCTCGGGGTGCACGTCAGCTTAGTGAGGGTAGGGGCCTGTAAGCTGTGTGCGTGGAGTGGGAGGGAGGAGTCGTATCTCCAGTAACCACATTGTAACTGTAAAATGATGGTTGGGTCTTGGCCCTTCCCCATCCCCCGTCTCTTTTTCTTGTAGGCAATGGCTCCGTCTTGAATGAGGATGGTCAGATTGAAATGGATGCTAGCATCATGGAAGGAAAAAGTCTGTGCACAGGAGCCGTGTCTGCAGTCAAAAGCATCGCAAACCCCATTAAGCTTGCCCGTCTTGTTATGGAAAAGGTATGGCTCAATGATGAGTATCTTGTCTCCAGTAACTTATCAGTGACACTCCCAGACTCAAGAGCTGTAAGAGCCACAAGAAGCCTGTGCTTCCTGGCAGAGTCCTATAAAATCGGTGAGGTGAGTCTAAACAGTGTTATCTGAGAATCCAGCATTGGTCTGTTGCCGGCCCGTGGTAGTCTGGTCATGAAGGTATTCCTTACTAGCAGGAAGGGAATTGATGTGGGACCTTAAGCATGACTACTCTCTTTCCTCCTCATTTAGGCACCAATTAGACTAGCCAAACTATTAAGTGATGGCTGTTCTTGTGACAGCCATATATTGAGTGGTATCTGCTCCCTCTTCTGTTTTGGAAAGATGCACTTTCTCAGGCCCTGCCAGAAAAATGAAACCAGTGGAATTTGCCTTTTTGAACCTTTGTACTCAGAAGATGTAGCTGCCTTTGCACAGTCAGGACAATCCAGGAGGTCTAATGATGTTCCTTTCCTTTCCGAATCAGACAAATCACTGCTTCCTGACTGATCGAGGTGCGGCATGTTTTGCTAAGAGCATGGGGATCCCAACAGTTCCTGGAGAAAAAATGATGACAGAACGAAACATCAAACGTCTGAAAAAAGAAAAGGCTGAAAAAACGAATTTCCTAGACGATGTTGACAAGTAGGTATTTCCTGTGACTCTGAAGTGCATCTTTGGAATGCTTACAGTTGTGCTAACACTTACAAAAGGATTGAATCTCCCACATTTGTATACCTTAGACGCCATTCCATTCCCTCCCTGTGTGTGAGAAAGCACCGATTCTACCACTAAGGAAAAGCCAGCCTTGATTAGCGAGAGCTTCTTAGGGAGAGCAGAGAGGTTCAGCTTAGGTCAACCAAGGACAAGAATGGCCAGCTGTGAACGCGCGTCCATGGCCTGGGATGCTTCTCAGGAGCAGCAGAAGTTGGTTTTCCAGAAGGATTTATCTGTCCTGTACAGATTCCCATCTGGGTTCTTTATCCACTTGACCTTTTCTAAACGGTAACACAAGAAACCTTTCACATTGCTCCTGTCTGTGTTATGACAGAGTTTAAATTAACAACGTTTTGAAGTTTTTGTGTAATGAGTTTCTAAGTCCCAGGGGACTTGTTTGAAACAATACTAAATACAACAAAATTAGAACAGCACTTTGAAATGTATTGTAATGGGTCTTGACTTCGATTTGGTTTGCTAAAGTTATAAGTCTAAGCCCAGAGTGGGAAAGGACCTTGGCAGGCTTTAAGTCTTCCCTCCTGCCTGATGTCTCTTCGTATGTCATGGTCCTTTTCGAGAACCAGGGAGCAAGCCAGCCTAGCGATGGGATACTTGGAGTGACCTGGAGCATTCTGCTTCGTGAGGCAGCTGGGAAGACCAGAGGGAGGCCTGGCTCCCTTTCCTTTGTCCTTCCGAAGGTCTTCGTAGAGTGAATCTGCATTCTTGTACACCCTCGCTCTCCCTTCTGAAACCGTACAGCATACCTCACCTTTAGTGAGACAGCGCTCAGACCCCCCTGAGCCGAAGCCTGGATTCCTTGCAGCTTTCACGCCTTCCCTGCCTGTTCATACGCCCTCCAGGTTGCCGTGTCCCTCTTAGGCTGTGGGGCCTAGAATCAAGCACAGTGTCCTGGATGTGCCAGCTTTCTCACAGCAGGCTTGGATTAGGGTTTTTAAAAATGAATCATTTTCTCCATTCACTATCTGTCCTTCTCAACTTTGTGCTGTCTCTGATAAGTTGCCTTTCATATTTTCATCCAAGTATCCACAAAATGTTAAACAGGACACGGCTCCCTTTTGGCGCCTGGATTCATCAGGTAGCGGCCTTTGGGCAGAGGTGTTCAGCTGGCTGGGAAGTCTCTTCCCCCCCTCCCCGCCCCGCCACCCGTTCACACTTTGTCATTTTGTCCATGAGGGTAGGCTGAGAAGCTTGTCCAGTGCTTTTATAAATCAGGACATGCTGTGTCTACAACATTGCTCTGATCTTCCAGGCTGCTGATCATGTAAAAAAAAAAATAGGTTGTCTTGACATTGTGTTGTTTTTCTCCTATAGCATTTTTAGTAGCTTAAATGTCTTTCCTGTATTATATGTGATCTACTTGGTTTCGTCTTATTTTTAGTAAGTCTGTTTCCACTATGGAAAAAAGTGGGGAAGACTAAATCTCCCAAGCCATTGATTTAATCACTCATTCCAGAAGCTGTTGGGTGTGAGCCTCAGGTCAGCCAGGTTATTGTTTGCAGGGTCATTCATTCATTTATTCATTCAACAAGCATTTGTCAGCTCATACTATATTCCAGGATATATGCTCAGCATTAGGAATGTGAAGACAAAAATTAAACCGTTTCTGTCTTCAAGGGGCTTACATCTTCTTGGGGAAAAATAATATGGATACAGAAAAAGACATCCAAAGTAGAAATAGGATGATTTCTAGGGAGAAGGCACTCACAACTGGGGGACTGAGGATTGGCTTCCTGTGGGAAGGGGTGCTTGGATTGGACTTTGCAGAAGGCTCAAGATTCTAAGAGCCAGGAGGGAGGCCATCCCAGGTGGCAGGGCCAGCCTAGGCAAAGGTGCACAGGGAGGAGATGCAGGGTCCTCTCTGAGATCCGGCCTCAGACACATAACACTCACTAGATGTGTGACTCTGGGCAAGTCACTTAACCCCAATTGCCGAGAGAGAGAGAGAGAGAGAGAGAAACAACAGATGGGCCAGTTTGGTCAGACCACTGAGTAAATGGAAAGCAGTGATGTGCAATAAGACTTGCAAGGTCGGCCTGATTCAGATTTTAAAGAGTTAAAAGTTTCCCATTTCACTTCGTAAGGAGGAAAGCCACAGCATGGTCAGACCTCAGTTGTCAGAATGTCAGCAGACTCTGAGCATTTCTCTCAAATTCTGCTCTCTGCAGGTGTCCAGGCAGCCAGAGTGTGCTCCATCCTCCTTCATATCATACTCCCACAGTTATGTCTCTTTCTCGGTCTCCTGACCCAAGTGTCTGCCGTCATGTTTCTACAAGTCATTTCTCTGTGTCATGCATCCTCTGGGCCCCCCCCCACCAGATCCCTTTGTCCCCAAGCACTTCCTTCCCTTCTCTCTTGATCGTACCTGCTATTCAGTTTTATATTCCTATTCATATTCAGCTCTATAAGAGCTGTTTTCTTCCCTTGAATTTTCATCTCAAAGCCTTCTTGATCAGGTCTGTGAGTCCGACATATCCAACCTTGTCTTTCCTAGTCTTAGTATGCATCATTCCAGCCTTTCAAGGAGAGCCTGTTATGGTTCTGTGATCCCTCAGAAAGCCAAGTTCTGCCTCTCGCCATCTCATTTCCAAAGTCATTGTCTTCCACTGCTGGGAAAGAGCAGAACACTCCCAGAGTGCCTCGATTCCCTAAGGACGGCTTCAAAATCAGACATTGTGGTTCCTCCTGGCTGAATCTTTCAAGTGGGTCACCCGGTGGGGCTTCAGATGTGCTCCTGGGAGACCTTTTCTCTCCCATTGCATAGAAGAAGGGAGAGGGAAGAGTGGGACAGAGATGAGTGGGAGCTGGGAGATGAAAAGAAGAGAGTGAAGAGAAAGAGAGGTCCCCACAGTCAAGCTAGCCACAGGAGCTTGGCCTCCATTGACACTCGGTGCCATCTCTTGACTCACAGCTTTACTTGCTTGAGGAGCAGAGAAGAGGGTTAGGCAATCTCTTCAGTCAGTGCTGGTCATTGTGGATGTAAAACACCCGTCATCCGTGGCCTCTTCTGTCTGGCTCCTACAGAATAAACAGCCAGTCGGCTCCCTTTGGGGTCCTTTCCTGACCTGGGTACAACTGGATTTCACCGACGTGGGACTTTGATAAAGCTTGCATTGTAAGCTTTAGCCCGGCCTTCTATTCTGCTGTTGTTATTTTTTTTTTCAGTAACACTGGAACAGTAGGTGCTGTGGCCCTGGACAAAAATGGAAACCTTGCCTATGCAACATCGACTGGAGGGATCATTAATAAAATGGTCGGCCGTGTGGGGGACTCACCCTGTGTAGGTAAGGTCAAAGGCGCGGTCCCCCTCCCGCACTCCTACTCCCCTGCTTTCTTCCCTCCAAAGTACTACACTCATCTGTGTCATTCTTCATTCGTGCCAAGAGCTTCTCACAGCCTTGGTCTAAAAGGATCTGCTCCATGGAAAGAGACGAGAAGCTGAGAATAGAAATGTAATATAACCAAGTTTAAAAGTGGTCAGAATAATTCACCACTCAAAATAAGCTGCACCTTTGTGGTTGAAGTGATATTTCAGGCTTAAGTTATTATAAGTTTACATAAGGTATACTGGACCCAATTCCAGGGGTGAAGTGGGGTTTGGGTTCTGCCTTTAAAAAGAATAAACACAAATTATGCTGACCTTTTTTGTAGCAATAAGAATGTAAATAACAAATGCCCTTATCTACCATCTACCCTCAGAGCGCTGGTACAGGCATTGCAGGATTTGAATAAGAAGTGAGGGATTCCCTTGACTCCCTCTGAGGGGCACGGCTCTCCCCATGCCCAATCCTTCATTTATGGTTCAGTTTTATTCCAGAGCCGAATCCCTTCTGATGCTGACCCTTAATGCAGGCCTTCAAATGGAGGCTTTGGTTGTTTTTGAGGACAGGGGAGCCTTTCCCATTTTTCCAAGGCAGTCACAGCCCAGAGCTGACAGTCTCCAACCTAGCTTTAAATTACAGCCTGCAGTCTCTCATTTCTAGAAAAATTCTGAGCAGAAAGTGCCCCGTCAGGGCACCCCCAGGTGTGTCCAGCCTGTTCAGGGCATTCGGGCAGACTGTTGATGATCCATGCCAGGAGAAGAGTCGAGCTGTGAGTACACACAGGACACTCATCAGAAAGTTCTTTTTTTAGCTGAGAAAGTTTAGATGCTCGCTCATGTTGAGATGCATGCGTGTAAACATGTACATGCATGCAGACATGTACATGCGTGCATGCACCCACAGATACACGTGTATCAACATTTATATACATATTCATACATACCCTATTCTTAGCTAACCCCAGACTTTGCCCTGCTTGAGTCTTCTGTTAAAATCTCACGTGGGATGGAGAAGAGGACGAGGACAGATGCAAATAATTTACTCATGGACACTCCCAAGCTGACTGTTCACCAGATGGTAACTTGAGACTTGCATCAGCCACAAAACCTTAGGAAACGCCCCTTCCCCAGAGGCCCACCTGGACATACGTACACACACGTGCACACACACACACACACACACACACACGTACACACACACACGTAGACACCTGCACACCCGAGCACCAAGCTCAAAGCCACTTGTCGTGATCAGTGGGTTTTGAGGTCACAGTCACTTCCCCCAAATCTCCCAGCCATGAGGCCATAAAATGTCCACACTGAAAGGGACCTTTGAGACCATCTGGTTCACTCCTCATCTTATTGGTGATGGCACCGAGGTCCAGAGCAGTTGGGCGCAGCCGCCGTCCCAGCTCCCCTTTGGAGCGCAGAGCCCCGTGCCTTTGGGCATCTCCTCGGCCCCCTGTAAGAACACTGTTTTCTTCTTGAGCAGGTTCTGGAGGCTACGCTGACAATGAGATCGGGGCTGTTTCTACCACTGGGCACGGAGAGAGCATCCTAAGGGTCAACCTTGCCAGACTGGTTATCTTCCACTTGGAGCAAGGTATCAAAGGGCAGAATGGGATTTCTTTGCAATCTTCCTAGTCTGATTAGAAGTCAACAAAACAAATTCAGGAAATGTGTTCACTGGGCTGAGTCAGACAGGATGGACTTCATTAGGATAAATGTAAAATCTTCCACTCGAGACGTCAGTGGAGCACAAGCTCCAGCGGAGGGGGCGGAGAAATGGGGCAGCCCCCCAAGCCTCTGCCTTCCTCAGACCTCCTCTAGAGGAGTGGGTTCAGTTTGGGCCCTGCAGGCTAAGGACCGTGGCAAACTGGAGAGGCTGGTGAAGAGCCTTGAGTCAGTGAGGAGGAAGTGGGCAGAGTGAGCCTGGAGCTCTCTCAAGGCCTTGAGGGCTGTGATGTGGAAGAAGCGGGGAGGCCAAGAGCTTGGGCTGTGCACGAGGGGGGCGGCTCCCCAGAGATTCAGGCAGGGCAGACAGCCGCGGCTCAGTGGGCTCTAGAGGCCGCTGAGGCCCTTCCACCCCTCAGATTCTAAGACTCGGTGACTGTGCCTTCCCTTTAGTACTTGGGGGATGTTTTCAAAGGTTCCACCAGTGAAGTATAAGCTCTCACGGGCCCGGGACTGACAAATCAATTGTCCCTCTGTCCACCTGGGAGCCAAGCACGGGCCTGTGTCTGTAGAGGCGCCACCTCTTTTAGCCACCGGCCGATACCGGCGTTTTCCACTGCATCGGCCCCTGGTGAACCTCTGCTGAGTTGTGGAAGGCCCTTGGTCTACATCAGGAGACGGGTGTTCCACATTGTTGGAAATCACTGACCCCTGAAGTCCCGCCATCTGTGCTGACCATTGACCACTCTCGTAAGGCTCTGGTGGAGCCTGTCTGCAGCAAGTCTTGTTTGTAGATTCTTGTGGGTGTTCTGGCCGTACCTTACACTCCCACCTCCCACCTAGAAGGATCTGGAAAGAGAAAGCTTTTTAAACTAAGTACTTAGTTCCCTTGCCCAGATAATAAAGGAAACTAGAAAAATGAATAGTTTGAGGGCAGATTTCAGAGGGCTCCGCTGGGCTTTATTGTATCAGGGCAGCTTGGCCATCAAGGCCCAGGATCAAAGGAAGAATTTAGTGGGCCCCAGTTGTGCCAATTCAATTAAAATCATTTTAAAATTACATTAAATCCTATTTTAAGTAACCTTGGGAGGTTACTTGCTCCACAAAAGGACTTTTTATGTCCTTGAAGGTATTAATACCCTATTTCTTTGCTAACAGCTAGGAAGTGTTCCATAACCACTCCCTCTCGTTTTTAGGAAAGAATCCCCAAGAGGCTGCTGATGCTGCCTTGTGTTACATGAAGTCGAGGGTCAAAGGCTTAGGCGGCGTCATCGTGATTGATAGAACAGGAGAGTGGGCCGCAAGGTGGACCTCGGTCTCCATGCCCTGGGCCTCAGCAAAGCAGGACAAGCTTCACTTTGGAATTGTCCCCGGGATGGTACATATCACTGACATCGGCAAAGGCAAAAACCCTCCCTTCTGTATCTGACTGCCAGGTCCAGGTTGGAAGAGACAATGAATAAAGTGGGCTGGTCTCCAGCCTAGGCAACAGTAACATTCAGGAGAATTTTACCTTACTCTATTAGGTCTACATTTGGAGAAATCATGCACCCTGTCACACTTGATTTGTTTCCTTGATCAAAACATATTCTCAAACTTTCTGTTTTGGCCACTGTGAAATAAAGGTTAGAACAAGCCTTGCCTTAAGACGTCAGAGGACCTAGCATTAGCCATTCTCTTGACTGATTATTTTGGTCTTGAATTGGAAAGAAAGCACGAGAGTTTCCATCTTAAGAAGAGACTTTGGACTTTGGAAAATCCATAGCTTTTACAAAAGCTGTGGCCCTTGAATGCAGTTCAGTTTGGTGAACCTGAAAGAGGCTGTGAGAAAGACAGGGCTTCTTTTTGATACGGTGGAATAGACACCTGGACAATAATTTATTTAGAAACAAATCCAATCCAAGGCTCTTGATCTTTGCAAGGACCTTGGTTTCTCCACAGTCAATATTCAGTTAAAGGAGTAAAGAGCAGGATGTAGGGATTGAGCCACTTTGTTCCTTATTGAAGGGGGGGGGGGATCAGGAGACACGGAGGTAGGAGGGGTCGACTTGTGACTCCCCCATGATCAGGGGACTTACAAGAAGCTGGAACTTAACTTCACAAAATGGCAGACAAAGGCAAAATGGAGTTACTCATGCTGTTTTCAATGTAACATTTCCCGCCCTGAGGTTCTTAGCCCTCGGGGTCACTTATTTAAACACTTTATCGAGGATTTCTGGACAAAATGATGATCTACCTTAAGGGGCCTCAGAGGGGTGGGGTGAGAGGCACAGAGAATACAAGCAGACTCATAAGCTCATATGTCACCAAAGGGGACAAACTTTGTTAAATAGACTCTATAGGTAAACTAAGTCAGCTTGCAGATCAAACTACTCAGAGGGCTCACCGTGGACTAATTTGAAAGGGGAGATTTACATGTCACCAAAGTGACCAAGAATCCTCAGCTAACTTAAACACCATGAAACAGGAAGTTGAGGCAATACAATAGTGATCATTAATATTAAGTAACATCAGGCCTTGTTGTAACCCAATGTCCATTTAATCAGCACATTTCATCTTGACTCCCAGACATCCCAGGTGGCAAAGTCCTCCCTTGGACACTCTGGAATAGGTCTTGTTGTCAGGACGGCTGAAGGGGACTCCTCCTAGCAGATCCACTTTTCTGGTTCCAGGTCCCTTGCCGAGACTCCTACGTAACGTTGCTGAAATCTGCTCGATACGACTTTGCTCAACCTCCTAAATTTGGTTTTCCAAAAGTAGCTCTTGTGAGGAAAACCAGCTCCAGCTTTCTGGTTCTGATCCCACTGGCGACCAGGCTACAAGAAGAGCATCAGATCAGGAACCCGTGATTCACTTCAGAGAATTTTAGTTTTTACGTACTGCTCCCTGTTTCTGTCTTTACCGAAACCCTGTACCTGCTGTGGACGCTGCCATCCGCAGGCTGAAGAAGGCATCTTAAAGGTCCATGAGGGCCCGACTTTCGAAACGAGAACTTATGTCTGTTGATATTATCAGGCGGATACTTCAAAAGAGGAAAATAATTTCACTTTCTTTACAATTATAAAGGCAATTTTGAGAACTTGTTACTAAAACATACTCAAGGGCCTGTATGTCCCATTAGAAACATTTGGAAATCAATCATATATATAATACATATATATGTGTATATGTATATATTTTATATATATGTATTTTTTATTTATATATATATATATATATATATATATACACACACACACACACATAAGTGGACTGTTCCGCAGACCTGCCTTTCCCCTCACAGGGGCCTTTGTGGCCCTTCCACCTTTGCAGCTCTTTGGCCCCCTCAGCCTGAGTGACTTGAGTGCCTGTAGAGGAGGTCCCCTGGTGCCTATACCAGCTGTCTGTGTCACCTACCAGAAGCTGGAGCCTGGACCAGCACTAGGAAGTTAAATTTGCATAATGCAAATTTATGTAAAGCAAGAATTGTGTATGTATACATACATGCTCGTGCACACACATATATATAATCTCAGAAAACAGTCTGATCCTATTGCTTTCTCAAAATTTACTATTCCATTTGATTAGAAAATTTTTGCTTTATTTTATTCCCCTCTTTTGAGAAGATTATCCCCATAGCACCCCAAAAGAATGAGATACTTCAAGGACCTAGTCTTATACACGAAAATTAGCAAGTAGATGACAAGCCCAAGAAATCTTAGTTGCTTAGGATATGGAATTCTACAAACTCAAATCGAAAACAAGGTCTTTTATACTTGCATCCTATTATAGTAACTCAGAGATGTTTTTGTATTAATATATTTAGGATTGCAATGACAAAACTTCCACAGTTCTCCTGCCCGGATTATAGAAAATCGCTATGAAAAGAAAAGGGACATGGTTATGATAATATCAAGACTGGGTCCTCAAGACATAAGCCCTACAAAGAGAAGTGATGGAGGTTCACTAAAGAATCAAGTCAGTCCACATTTATGTAGTGTCTCCTAAGGTGTCCCCCACTGTGCCAGGTTCTGGCCATGTAAAGATTGAAATGAAAGCATCCTTATCCTTAAGGAACTTAACATTTTCCCAGAGAGAAATATGTACGTACATACAAATACATACAACCCATGGTCCGGGATCCCCTAGGAACTCTGGATTCGCGTGGAATGGATCTCGTCCTTAGAGGCTTGACTGAAAGGGTCAGTTTCTCATCCTTTGGCTCATTGACTGGATTAATCCAAAAAAGTCTCCAAGATGCAATTTAGGCATAGCTTGTGGGTGGTGCATCCCAGATGTGGGTGGCAGGGTCCCTAAATTCTGCACAGGCATTCAGTATACAATATGGTTATTGGATTGGAGATTACACTTCACCTCACAAAAAATACCTAAGATTTGTTTCCAAGCACTAAGGAATTGCTGGAACCCAGAAACTAAAAGAGAAAAATAAACACTCAAGTAACCTGTCAGCTCCATGCCTGCCTCCCCTACAGGTCCTGAACTTGAAGTCACTATCAGGGCAGTCCTTTTATCATTCCTATGAGTCCTTTCCAACAGCCGCCTACACAGTCTCCCCCGCCGTGGCTGACTCCCCTAAAAGGAAAACATACTTTGGAGTTTACTGAAAAAGCAAACCTGCTCTTCTCCAACTCACACTGTCCCCCACCCTACCTACTCTAGAAGAAGTTGCTGAGTCCTTAAAAATCCAAGGGTCCCAGAGAGTTGGGCCACCGTTTTCCCCCATAGGCCATAAGGAGAGATGGCTGATCCTCAATCATTCAGTATTGAGGAGTCCCCTGCATCCCGTGAGTGGCCTTTCAATAATGACCCATATCTTATAATGTCATCATATGTCATCAAGCTGCCCCACTTCCCAGGGACCTATACTGTCCTCTAGGCCAGTGGGTCCTAACCTTTTTTGTTGTTCTGAGAACTCCTTTCAACAACACCAAGTAATATGTTACGAACCTCAAGGTGATTTACTATACCACTTGTAATATTCTTTTAGATTTGTTCATTAAATGCTTACAATAACCACATTGATAACTTTGCCCATAACAATCTCCCAACTAAAATTAACATTATATAATTTTATTTATATCATATAAAATTTTATTCTACCTATAATGGTGACAACTCAAAATATGAATCTCATTGTAAAATAATTACAAATATTTCATGTGAGACATTCTGTGTGAATTTTTAGAAAGTAATCCAGCAAGATTTCATATGTGATCTAACCTTTGTAAGGGAAGATGCTCTTTCTCTTCCAAAAAAAAGCATACCAGCTACATTGTCACTGAAATTATTGAATGAGGGATCAATGTTGCCAACCAGTTTTTTTTTTTAAATCTACCAGACAGTAAAATAGTAACATAAACAAGGAATAAATTCAAATCAGAAATCAGTCTTTTTTTTTTTCTTTTGGGATAATCTTTTGTGTTAATAATTTGTTTTGTGACCAATAAATTTGAGTACTTTAGAGAACACAAATGCTATTTCATAAGCATTAATGTTGTCTTTTTCAGTGGGGTGCAGTATAATCTGGGGCAGGATCACTAGAATCCTTCTTCTGCAACCCCAGAGTTACTTCTAATACTAACAGCCTCCCAAACGCCCCGGCTGTCAAGGGGATAGTGCACCTCTCATTTCTTGGCCCCTGTCCTCCACCCTTCTGCCCTATCCCTATGGTAAACTAGACTTGGAGTTTTTCCATCCCCATATATTATCACTAATCTTGTGGCCGTCCTTCTTTCTTCATCGATCTTCCCCGAAGAGGCTACTATGGATCCACAACCATCTTTGATTCTGGCTTTTCTTCTTCTGTTGCTGGTGTTGACCACATCTCTGGATTAATCTCTGATCTTCTCCTTGTTAGGAGAAGTTCGGTGACATCCAGATCAGAGGGCAAAATCCCAAAGGTTTTGTAGTTGGAGATAAGCCCAGCCACTATATAGAAGAAGCTACCCCACCAGTTGAAGTAGAAGATAAATCAATCTTAGTACCTCGATGAGAGGCAACACAGTTTGTTTCTATGGAACATTTGTGTCAGTCTAGGATGGTTTCAAGAAAGTGCGTAATGTGCATGCCCAGCAGTTGTGGTCTTCAAACAGCCTGACATTTGTTCTATAAGCAACCCTTACCAGTTGTATAATCATGATAAGGGTGACAGAGGGGAATGAGAGAGCAACTCTGGTACAGTTAGCAGAATGCAACCGAGAGTATGTGCAAACATCCTACTGACTTTTTCCGATAGTTTGGAAACAATTTGATGACAAGTTGAAAAACCGCAAGAACACTTTGGGCTTTGTCAGAAACCTTCAGAGTTTGATATAATCAAACTATACAAATATTTTATATTACACACAAATATAATCAAACTATACAAACACCAAAATCATTGTGCATGTGATCATGATGGTTTCAGATCACTGCAGAAGCAATCCTATATTGCTTCAAACATACGTGTGCTTATTGTCACAGATGGGAAAAAATGTTTTTATAACAGTTGGACAATTACTGCTCAAGGAGCCGTTAAATAATTTTTAGTACTGTAGAGAATTGCTGTGAACCCCTAAGGGGTTCAAGAACTGGTAAATGATAACCAGGATTCTAGATATAGTATTTCCCTAAGTGTTTCTACCACCATCAAAAGTGGGAAAGCACTCACCAGTGAGTTGACTCCCT